ATGCCTGTGACAGACTGTGTTATCCGATATTACATGAACTTTACAATAAAAATGCGCGAGCAATTTATGATTTTATTTACCAATCTCTTTTGATCATCATCTTCTTTTTTGTGCTTAGTCAAAGGTCCAAGTTTGTTCTCCATTTCAACAGCTAATTCTGGCAAGTTTTTCACAGGTCATATTCAAAGTGTAACCATTCAGCCATTTGTAAACAATGCGAAAATAAAGTTCAAATTGAATATGATCTCTTTCCGGAGTACACTCTTAGAACCATGAAATAAATGTCATTTATATTTTACAAAGTAAATATTTTAATGATTAAGAAGACTTGTTTTAATCGTATCTAAATGTTAGTAAATTAAAACTCTAAATATTTTACTTTTTTAAATGTCCGTTTTAAAACAATCTCAACGTAACAGTGTACAATTAGATAGCATGTCCTGTTTCCTGTTTCATTTACGTAACTACTTTGAGTCTCGATTCTCCAGCGAAAATTTAGATCTGGTAATGTATTGTGTTGTTTTTATTTAAAGATCTGAAATACAGAGTATTTAACAATATGTCTGTATCATATACCCAAATGAAAATATTGTAATGATAAGCATTTAGATGATTGACCGTATTCAGGTGTTGTCGCAATGCTTGACCCCTATTTCGGATAGATTATAGTTAACAGGTTAAACTATAGCTAAACATAGCTAAATCAAGAGGTTGTGTCGGACTTGATATTGTTGCATTGTTTGACCCCACACCTTTCTAATGCTGATTGTTAGAGCTGTTGCCTCTGAATTTTCTTTGTGAAAGTTATAGAGACCAAAGAATATCAACATATGGCCAGCTGATGTGGCTAACTATTTTAAAAATAGAAAAAAGAATGTGCTGAAGGTTAATGCTTGAATGAGTTACATATGTGTGTTAGTTTGTGATAAACAATTTCCTACTAGCTTGGGCAAGTGGGTTAACCCTATAGCTCAATTCATAGAATACTGGGCTGGCATGCCAGAGGTCTAAGTTCTATTCATGTGGGTTGTATGTTCGTTCGCCCTAAAACTTGTTTGCCCTTCACGCTGTTCGCCCTAATTCCCAATCGCCCAGAGTTCAATCGCCCTCAAACTTGTTCGAACAGGGTCCGTTCGCCTTATTTATATTGCAGAAAGTAGAATAATGAACCAATGGATTTTTTAAATTATATATACAATGGTACATAAATTGCAAGCGGGAGACAACAGACGTATGCATGTGGTCACACTATAGGGAGCCAGTCAATGCGCCCCCTAACAAAACCATCCCGGTCAAAGCGCCCCAAGATTTTGGTCAAAGAGCCCCCAGATTTTGGTCAAAGCGCCCCCTGATTTTGGTCAAAGAGCCCCCTAATTTTGGTCAAAGCGCCCCTAAAAATTTTTAAAATTAAAGTGGTGTTACAAAACAGCCCCCAAATATTGGTCAAAGCGTCCCCTGATATAAATTTAGCTGGAAACGGTATCGTTCTTTGGGGGGGGTGTGCTTTTTTTTAATTATAGAGGCTGGGGGGTTGTGGCCATTTTTAGACTATATTGATCTCCTTTAGAAGAAGAGCTCCATATGAAGATATAGAAAATGATAAAATTTTAAAACTAAAATTTTTGAAATTTTTCTTTGCCAAATGATAGTTGACAGCTTAAGATATCATATCTAAAAAATTAAGTTAAATCTGGTGGTTAATTTGTTGACCCCCCAGCCTCCTTAAATGATACCGGCAAACATTCTCAAAAATTTCTTGTATGATAAAAGCATTTCTGTTCTATAAAATAAATCAAACAAACAAAAGTCAACCGCAATTTGGAAACGTTTCTTATTGAGAAGGCCTCCACGTCAGGCAAGAGCTGGGCAATGGTATTGATTTTTTTTTTTAGGGGGAAGGGGGATAATTAAATGATACCAGAAAAACATTCTCATTACTTTGGAAATGTTTTCTGTAAGGTTATTCAAACTTAATATTAATCTATTAAATATTTCATGGGTCACGCTAAACAAACAAAAGAATTTAACTAAATAGCATAAATTAATGAAGAGACCAAATTTAGCGGTGATTTTGCAAACGAACATTCTATAAAAATATCTAAGGGGCGCTTGGACCAAAATAATGAAGCGCTTTGACCAAAATCAGGGGATGACCATTGCTTGGTGACGGTTCCAAAACGGAGTTTTCCTATAAAATTATATTAGGGGGTGCTTTGACCAAGATCAGGAGGCTCTTTGACCAAAATCAGGGGGCGCTTTGGCCAATATTTGGGGGCAGTTTTGTAACATCGTTTTACTGTAAAATTCCTTTAGGGGCGCTTTGACCAAAATCAGCTGGGGGCTCTTTGACCAGAATCAGGGGGCGCTTTGACCAATATTTGGGGGCGGTTTTGTAACATCATTGTAATACCTGTACTATCAAAGACCCAGCAGACCAACAGAAATTAACGTCTCAGTCCTTTAATTGTTTTCAAAACATAACGCAGATTGTATGATCCCCTAAATTACAGTGACATTATTAAGTATTATTAAATCAATTAAGCATGTTAAGAGCATAAAATATCAAATTTGAATTATTTAATTAAGATTATGGTAAATAAAAAAAATACTGTAGCAACATTTGAAAAAAAACACCAAGTCGTAAAATATTGAATAAAATTAATAATAAATGTTGATATTTACTATATACTGTATATATAATATGGCGAACGAGAAAAAGGGGAAAAAGATATATAGTGCAAACAAGAATAATGGCAAATGGACCCTGTGCGAACGGACTCATGCGAACAGGCAGATAGGGCGAACGAACCTGATACCATTCATGTGGATGCTCGAACCTGTCTCTGAACATTACATTTGGCATAGAGTATATGTTGGGACCTGGATAATCTCTGGTGAGTGAAAGTGAATGTCTCCAGATCTTAACAGTGCTGCTGAGTCATATCTGATCTATATAGCAGAGTTTCCGAAAACCAAATATTTCTATCAGTCATTCAATAAACTCAGAAGAAAATTAGAAGGTATACCCACAAAAGCCTTTTTGAGATTATGACGAAAAGACAAAACCTTTACAGGTACAGTGAAAATCTCTGGATTGTTAAGGCAGATAATAATTTGTCATATGGATCAGTAATATAGCGAATTGCATCGGACAGTTCAAATTTCTGTCAGTTTTGCCAGTAGGACCAATGGGTTTTGAAAACTCTGCATAGCATGTGATTATCAAATTCCATAATAATCATGGTGATTTAGAAAAAATCCCTCCTTTTTAGCTCACCTGAGCTGAAAGCTCAAGTGAGCTTTTCTGATCACATTTTGTCCAGCTTCCGTCTGTCTGTCTGTCTGTCCGTCTGTCTGTCTGTCCGTCTGTCTGTCTGTCTGTAAACTTTTCACATTTTCCACTTCTTCTCAAGAACCACTGGGCCAATTTCAACCAAACTTGCCACAAAGTATCCTTGGGTAAAGGGGATTCAAATTTGTTCAAATGAAGGGCCACGCCCTCTTTCAAGGGGAGATAATTAGGATTTAGTGAAAAAATAATGGCATCATTTAAAAATCTTCTTCTCAAGAACCATAAGGCCAGGAAAGATGAAACTCATGTGGAAGCATCCTTAGGAAGTGTAAATTCAAGTTTGTTCAAATCATGACCCCCAGGGTAGGGTGGGGCCACAATGGAGGATCAAAGTTTTACATAGAAATATATAGGAAAAATCTTTAAAAATTTTCTTCTCAAGAACTGCAAAGCCATGATGAGTCATATTTATATGGAAGCATCCTCAGGTAGTGTAGATTCAAGTTTGTTCAAATCATGATCCCCAGGGTAGGGCGGGGCCACAATGGAGGATCAAAGTTTTACATAGAAATATAGAGGAAAAATCTTTAAAAATCTTCTTCTCAAGAACAGCAAAGCCATGATGAGTCATATTTATATGGAAGCATCCTCAGGTAGTGTAGATTCAAGTTTGTTCAAACCATGACCCCCGGGGGTAGGGCGGGGCCACAATGGAGGATCAAAGTTTGACATAGAAATATATAGGAAAATATCTTCTTCTGAAGAACTGCAAACCATGATTAGTCATTTTGTTATGGAAGCATCCTCAGGTAGTGTAGATTCAATTTTGTTCAAATGATGACCCCCAGAGGTAGGGTGGGGCCCAATGGGGGATGGAAAGTTTTACATAAGAACATATAGAAAAAATATTTCTTCTCAAGAACACAAAAGCTATGTTTAGTCATATTGATATGGAGGCATCCTCAGGTAGTGTAGATTCAAGTTTGTTCAAATGATGACCCCTGGGATAGGGAGTAGCCGCAATGGGGGGTCAAATTTTTGCAAAGGAATATATGGGAAATTTTTTTAAAAATCTTCTCAAGTACAACAAAGCCATTTGTTATATTGACATGGAAGCATCATCAGATAGTTTAAAATTCAAGCCCCCCCCCTCCCCCGACCCCCCCCCCCCCTATAATCTTTTCAATATTGAACTGATTTGTGCTTTTGCCTAGCCAATGTGCTCAGGTGAGCGATGTGGCCCATGGGCCTCTTGTTGTACTTTGCAGGATTCAGCCTTACCACTTGCAAATCTATGCACAAATCTTTTCTATTCATTTTCTGTTTGGCACAATTATGAGATAATGAAATAGATATTATACATGTCTGTAAATATTCAGCAAGAGACTGATTTATCGTAACTTTTCATTTTCCTGTTAGGGGACACCATGCTACTAAATTTATTATAGTGAAAAAAAGGATTTCTTTTTATTTAAAATTATGAAGAAATAGCTAGAATTTTTCTTACAGGTATGGTAATGTTGGACTTACCAAAGGATTTTGACATGGTTGACCATACAATTTTATATGACCCAAAAAATTTCCATTTTTCATACTTCCACCAACATTTACAGAATGCCTGTGTTTATATTTTAGCCCTCACAATTTATATAAATCTATTTACCTGAGTGATATTGACTGACATAGAGTATATTTGTTATTTTTGTAGGATTTTGACCATGTGACTTGTTGATGTGACCAGTAGAGATACGCAATGGACCAATAACTGATCTTAAAGGATGGTAGCCTCTCTTTTGTCACGCAGGATCTACCAGCTGTGTTGGCAATGTAGATTATCTGCTGGGCCGTATATTTCCTCAAGAAGGTCAGCTTCTATCATAGCTCTTGTTTTTGCTTTCTTTAACATGATTTTGTTGGAATTGATCTTTATACACTGGATTAAAGAGATTTTAAATCATAAATACATGAACTATTTTTATTTACAGCTTTTTTTCGAGGACCAAGACACATTATGAAGTTCTTGGGGTTAAACAGGATGCCACAGAAGAAGAAATTAAAGCAGCCTATAAAAGACTTTCTAAAAAGGTTTTTCTAAAAAATTTAGATGTCAGAAATAACTATACCAGTAAATCAGTTCTACCTCCATAAGATCTTACAACTCACATCCTACTCTAAAAGCATTTTCTTTCCTTATTTGGTGTCATGATGTCATTTAGCTAAAGTAGAATTTATCATTATTTAAAGCAAAGACAAAAGAAGTCTGAATGGCAAAAGGCAATGTAAAAGAAAAGAAATATTATAGCCCTTGTGTTGTATACAAATTCCTATATTTATCATCATGTTTTAACAAGATAGGGCTTACAATAACTGTAAAATCAAACACAAGGTATAAATTTTGAAATTTGGTGAGAGTGATAACCAGTTGGAGTGTCTTAAACAAGCAGATCTGCTTAAGAAATGAATTTGATTTTGAGAATTCATGAGGACATGAACTACAATGCTTCACGTCGGCATATTTCATGAAGCGTGTTAGTTCATGAATTCTCAAAATTTAAATTCATATCTTATATTAACATTATTTTTCTAATGACTTACCAAATATTTTTGTCATTCAATAATCATTTTTGAAAAAAAAAGTTTGCACTATTTTTTTACTTCAATTACTTCACAATGGAAATATTCTTACTCATCCCACAGTAGTTCATGAGAACATGAACTTTTTCTAGTTTTCAAAGAATCTTAAGGAAAATATTTGGAAATGTAAATATATTTGAATAATTGGTTTATTAAAAAATAAATATAATAATTTTTAGTGCAGTGTATCATATTAATCACAATGTAAGAAGAATCCCAAGTTATTTCTTCAAGTTGTATATATGTATTAAGGACAGATGATACAAACAAAAATAGGGATGCCGGGATTGGTATATATTTTTTGACCTATTTTGGTTGTAAATGATGTGACTAATAAATTTCTAAACTATTAAGAATTTGTAAACTTTCTATGATGTTCAAAATTCAACCTTTCTGCAACCATCCTTATTAATCTATGTGATTTTTTGTCACTGAAATTCCCATGATTGTGAAACTTTGAATGAAAAATTAAATCTGTGCAGTTAAACTTATTCCTTTTACTCATAGAAATATTCAATTCAATTCAATTTATTGACAACACCATCATACATTGGCATATAGTCATGAATACAATAAACAAATAAATGTAACTTAAATTGTTATTTTGAGGATATTTGATAAAAGTTTGTATCATCTGACCTTAAGTGTCCTTTATTCTGGGATTTGATACATGTACATGTGCCTATCATAAAATCCATGCACCTCAGTCTTTATCTCTGACTTTCAGTATCACCCTGATACATCCTCAGAAGTTAATGCTCAGGAGAAGTTTATAGCTATCACAGAGGCTTATGGAACACTCAGTAAACCGCTGAGTAGAAGAGACTATGACTTAAAACTCAAGTACGGACCCGAGCACCTAGAACAGAAAAAAAGGGAGGAACAACAACAAGAAAATGAGACATGGAGAGACAAACACTACTGGTGTGTTCTATTTGTGTTTATTCTACTATTGTTTTCTATCATTTTTTGTAGACTATTGGAAATGGACCCTTTGAAAGCATTACTCCACTTTTTGTATAACATTGCAATGAATGTACCCATTGATTTCTCTTATATTGAAGGAAAAGTTCAGTATCAGCATCTTATTTTTATAACATATAGAAAATAATGGTCTTGTCAAATTACATATTCCTCCCAACACTATAAAGTGAACTAGAGCAATCAAGAGTTATCTTTCTTTGTTAATTGAAGTATGGGTTTTTTTAGGCAAAGAACTAAGGAAGAAGATCGACAGTTCAGGAAATGGTATTATAATGAGTTTGGGATGGGTAGTCGACACTCTCCTAATGTACTGGACCCTTTCTTCTTCCTGTCGGGTAAACAAGCCATTATATTGGCAATAACATTGGGGATCTGTCTACAGTATGCCAGATACAGGTGAGTCAACAGGAATTATTACTTTCAGGATTGATTCAGTTTTATGTATATCTATCCCTAATTAGAAAAAGTTTGAACTAAGGAAATGAATCTAGGATTATTTTGCAAGGCTTTAATTTACAGCAAGAAATCATTTTAAAGGTGCTGTATGTGTGTGTGTTTAGTGTCGGTGTGCTTTATTTGAAATCTATTAATGATTTTCAGATGGCTGAGAAGTCGTATGGAGTTATCAGACACAGAAAACATGAATAGACTGAAGAAAATGGATGAAGAAAAACAACACAGGCTAGAGTGGTAAGTGTTCTTGACTAGAGTGATAAGTGCTCACAGCTAGAGTGGTAAATGCTCATGGTTAAAGTGGGAAGTGCTCATGCCTAGAGTGGTAAGTGCTCACAGTTAGAGTGATAAGTGCTCATAGTAGAGTGGTAAGTGCTCATGGCTAGAGTGGTAAGTGTTCACAGTTAAAGTTGGAAGTGTTCATGACAAGAGTGGTAAGTGTTCACAGTTAAAGTGGGAAGTGTGCATGGCTAGAGTGATCAGTTTTCACGGTTAAAGTGGGAAGTGTTCATGGCTAGAGTGATAAATGTTCACAGTTAAAGTTGGAAGTGTTCATGGCTAGAGTGATAAGTGTTCACAGTTAAAGTGGAAAGTGTTCATGGCAAGAGTGATAAGTGTTCATGGCTAGAGTGATAAGTGTTCACGGTTAAAGTGGGAAGTGTTCATGGCTAGAGTGATAAGTGTTCATGGCTAGAGTGATAAGTGCTCACAGTTAAAGTGGGAAGTGTTCATGGCTAGAGTGGTAAGTGTTCGCAGTTAAAGTGGGAAGTGTTCATGGCTAGAGTGGTAAGTGTTCACAGTTAAAGTGGGAAGTGTTCATGGCTAGAGTGATAAGTGTTCATGGCTAGAGTGGTAAGTGTTCACAGTTAAAGTGGGAAGTGTTCATGGCAAGAGTGATAAGTGTTCACAGTATGTAGAAATAGGAAAAACCTGTACATATTGAATTCAATCACTGACATCAAGTGTTTATAACAGGGAGTCAAGGAAACAAACTTTTGCTGCATCACTGTACACATGTAATACTTATATATCTGAGCTGGTTCATACGTTAGAGAGCTGCTTGAAATTAGTACGGATTAAGTTACCCAGTAGTGAGTGTTGGATCGGGCACTTATTAATCAATGTTGCATATCATGGTTTTCCTTTAACATAATATATTAACTTTTTTTGTTTGATAGCTGCTTTATTGAGACTAGGAATATAAATTCAGTGATTAGGGAGTCTTGTATTTTATTGTATGTAACAAAAAACCTATGCATACCCAGTTAATCCAAGTCTTTTTAAAGAAATTGAACTAAAACTTTGAGGGGAAGATGTCAGATATTTGTTTTTTATGTAATAAAGGAGAGGAAGGGGTGGATATATCATGACCATGTTTACAAAGTACATTTCAGATGAGTCAGATATATCATGACCATGTTAACAATGTACATTTCAGATGAGTGGGATATATCATGACCATGTTAACAATGTACAATTCCATGTTAACAATGTACATTTCTGATGAGTCGGATATATCATGACCATGTTAACTGTTAACAATGTACATATCAGATGAGTTGGATATATCATGACCATGTTAACAATGTACATATCAGATGAGCTGTATATATCATGACCATGTTAACAATGTACATTTCCACGTTAACTGTACATTTCAGATGAGTTGGATATATCATGACCATGTTAACAATGTACATTTCCATGTTAACTGTACATTTCAGATGAGTTGGATGTATCATGACCATGTTAACAATGTACATTTCCATGTTAACAATGTACATTTCAGATGAATTGGATATATCAAGACCATGTTAACAATGTACATTTCAGATAAGTTGGATATATCATGACCATGTTTACAATGTACATTTCAGATTAGTCGGATATATCAAGACCATGTTAACAATGTACATTTCAGATGAGTCGGATATATCATGACCATGTTTACAATGTACATTTCAGATTAGTCGGATATATCAAGACCATGTTAACAATGTACTTTTCAGATGAGTCGGATATATCATGACCATGTTTACAATGTACATTTCAGATGAGTCAGATATATCAAGACCCTGTTTACAATGTACATTTCAGATGAGTGGGATATATCATGACCATGTGAACAATGTACATTTCAGATGAGTCAGATATATCATGACCATGTTTTCAATGTACATTTCAGATGAGTCAGATATATCAAGACCCTGTTTACAATGTACTTTTCAGATGAGTCAGATATATCAAGACCCTGTTTACAATGTACATTTCAGATGAGTCAGATATATCAAGACCCTGTTTACAATGTACATTTCAGATGAGTCGGATATATCATGACCATGTTTACAATGTACATTTCAGATGAGTCAGATATATCAAGACCCTGTTTACAATGTACATTTCAGATGAGTCAGATATATCAAGACCATATTCACAATGTACATTTCAGATGAGTCAGATATATCAAGACCATGTTTACAATGTACATTTCAGATGAGTCGGATATATCATGACCATGTTTACAATGTACATTTCAGATGTGTCAGATATATCAAGACCCTGTTTACAATGTACATTTCAGATGAGTCAGATATATCAAGACCATATTTACAATGTACATTTCAGATGAGTCAGATATATCAAGACCATGTTTACAATGTACATTTCAGATGAGTCAGATATATCAAGACCCTGTTTACAATGCACAATTCTATCATGATCCTGTTTACAATGTACATTTCAGATGACTCTGACCAATTAAAGTGAATACAAAATAAAACTCTCCTAATGTAGAGTTTTATTTTTTTATAATACATGTGTGGGAGATATCTATGATAAAATTTAAAACATATATGACCAGAGATGTTGTCAGATGCAGCATTCATTACATGTGTGTATTGGACACAGCTTAGTTAAATGAATTCTAAGCACAAGATAAAGTGTTGAGAAAGATAAAATAAACTGACACTCTTGTACTTGCCTCCTAAAACAGATGGACTAACAGATACTGTTTTGCATTGGACTGATAATAAAAATGTTTTGTATACCAGTGATATAGGAGAGGGGGCACAAATTATATTGAATCGCTAAGGAGTGCTTATTGTGTCATAAATGTTTGTTTCAGAAATATATATAAAATAAGATGAATTAAAAAGCATCTTCTGAGACTAAATTTTATTAACAAGCTAAATGAAATTAATCCACTTTTGAACCCCTGAAGTCTGTAAGTCTACACATACTTGATATATCATCCAAAAATTTAATAAAAATTGGTTTGAATTGCCTGACATTTTAATCATGTATTGTTTTTAATCATTACAGCAAATCAGCTCACAAGAAATAAGGTTTATTAATCCATTTTGCATATTTCAGAATTCCTGTTTTAACCTTGAGGCTTGTGATTGTTGATCTTATTTTCTCCTACAAGTTTTAATAGTTATGTATAGATATAGACAAATATTCCCCCCATTCCTGTTTATTTGCCAGAGTTTGCATAAATAACTCTGTGCGACTCCACAAATCTTAAATCATAACTATTTAAATATTATGATATGTAGATAATGGCTAAATTTGCACAAATTGACCAAAGACATTTGTTACAAATTTTCCATTAATTCAAAATGAGTGATTCAAGAGTTATTTTAGAAATATACACAAATTTCCCATTTGCTGATATATTTATGTTTGTTTATTGTTTTGCATAATTATTCAAGAAACAACTGTAGATTGAAAAATAAGATGAAATTTGAATGTCTAGATTATATTGGAGTCAGTGACTGTTCTATATAGATTTGATTTGATGAAACTACAAGTTGATTAAGTACTGAAGAATATTATTGTCATTATAAATGCTAAGACATGGTCATTATTGTCTCTATTTAGAGGACAAATTTGGAAAATCATAAAGCAATTCAACCAATCAGAATTCTATAATGACATGTGTATTGGTTCAAGTTTATCTGGTTCGCCTGGGTTACCTTTAGATGTAATCAATCACATTGGAATTCAGTAGCCATTGGCAGAGTGGAAACCAAGATGTCACTTGGACCTGCAAATATAGACAGAGAGATCTTGTGTTAGGTGTAAACAAGTATGTGTGACATTTTCTAATGTCCTTTCTAACACAGAATTGAAATTTAAGGAGAATAAAAAATGTTGCTGTGTAATTTATGGTCTGTTTTGAAACTTCCTGAAATGATTTTAAATTTGTATATCATGACGAGATTGCTATTGTGTAACCTGACAGAGTAAGAATTTGTGATTGGTCAATTTCACCAAAATTTAGAACAGAGTTTGTCTGATTTATGGTAGATTAACAGTTAATCATCTACTAGGTATTATAAATTATTACTCTTAAACTTCGTAAAATTTGCTTGTGAAATTTTTTTTTTAGTAAAAAAGTTCTTATATTTAATAATAATTGAGTAATTAGAAACCCAATTTCTTTTATAGCCTAACCATAACTTTTTCATGGACATCAGTCTGGAATCCAGTAATTTTTAATTCCAAAATAATCAGTGCCATTCAGTATTTGTTGTGAGTAGTGTTACACACTATAAGAGAAGCTCTATGAATTAAATTTGAAGGTTGTTGAAGTGCAGATTTCCATTTTCATTTTTGAAGTGGGAGGAAATATTTCCTCTTAATTAAAGTCAGGTGTGCTTCATAAAAAGTTTACCATAAGTGAATAAGTTGATTTATACATATCCAGCTACATATATTTGATTTATTTTTCAGTGCGCTGGACTTTTTGAGAAAGTTTATAACTGACGTTATTTGTTTATTTCTAAGAATTGAAATCCTGATTTTGTCGTAGAAACATGGCCAGCTTCCGTTCATTTGTAAAATTCCCTTGGAGAGAATGCACTTAATGGTTTCATTTACATGCAAATGAGGCTTGTTAAATGATAATGGTGTGTCACAGTTATGAGACTGCCTTGTTATAGAAACAATTATCATCAAGACAGTGTAGAATTTTTTTTTTATCCCTGTCATATCTTATTAGTCTAGCTCTTGAGGTAATCAAGGATACTGAAAGAGAAATTGTTTTTGAAATTTTTGTATCTATTCTTTATTCATCAAATCAGTCTCATTTTTTGATACAAAGTTACATTCAATATAATTTATAATCACAGATTTAAAATCATGATTTTTATTTGTCAATCTGTAAATGTTCAGATTTCTGTTGTATAAAAAGTATTTATTTAATATTAAGGAATTTCTCATTTGTCACAGTGCATCATAGGGAAGATAAGTCAACTTTTCTGATGTTCATTGTTTTTAAAAAATAAAATGATTGGAATAGAGGTGAGGAAAATTATTTGATAATGATTTTGTTTTAAAATTTATATTGTCCAAACAGTAATTTAAATAATAATGTCAAGGAATACATTTGTTTTAAACATCAATTCAGAACATGTCTACAAAGGTCCTCCCAGTGAACTTATCTGGTTTAAAATAATTCATCAAGGCCAATACTAAATCTAAAGACTCTTCCTCATTCTTGTCTTTAATTTTTAGCTCACCTCAATGAAGTTGGGGGAGCTTATATAATACCCTCAGCATTGGCGTCCCAGGTTAAAGTTTTTGGTGCAGTTTTTTTTTTTCAAGTACATCTGTGCCCTATATTAATCAGAGATGCATGGAGGATGCTTCTAGTATGTTTCATTGTACCAGTCAAGGTTTCAGATGCTGCAATTTCAGCTGAAGAATGACCAGGTTAATGTTTTTGGAGCAGGTTAAAGTTCTTAGAGCAGGTTAAATTTTTTGCAGCAGGTCTCATTTCCAAGTAACTATAAGCCCTATATTGACCAAACCTGCATGGATGATACATCTAAGGATGCACACTACCACACTTGCTTTGGATGCTGGATCTGACTACATTTTCTGGATGAGTGACCAGGTTAAAGTTTTTAGAGCAGGTCTCATTTCCAAGAACTATAAGCCCTATATTGACCAAAATTGCATGGACGATACATCTAAGGATGCACACTATTGGACTTGGTTCGGATGCTGGATCTGACCTACATTTTCCAGATGAGTGACCAGGTTAAAGTTTTTAGAGCAGGTTTCATTTCCAAGTGACTATAAGTTCTATGTTGACCAAACTTGCATGGATGATACGTCTAAAGATGCACACTACTGGACTTGCTTTGGATGCTGGATCTTACATTTCTGGATGAGTGACCAGGTTAAAGTTTTTAGAGCAGGTCTCATTTCCAAGTAAATTTAAGCCCTATGTTGACCAAACTTGCATGGATGATACATCTAAAGATGCACACTACCAGGCTTGCTTCAAACATGTATCTGACTGACATTTTCCAGATGAGTGACCAGGTGAAAGTAAACTATAAGGGCTATATTAACCAAACTTGCATGGATGATGCATTGCAGGATGAACACTCTCAAACTTGCTGCAGATGCTGGATATGACTTTCATTTTCTGGATGAGTGACTAGTTTTAAGTTTTTAGGTAAGTCCATTCCCAAGTAACTGCAAGCCCTATCGGACCAAAATTGCATAAATGTTACATCTAGGGAAGCACACTACTAGATCATTAGTTTGGGACTTTGCCTTACTTAAAGACAACATTCGTTGAGGTGAGCTATGTAATCTCTGATTACCTATGTTTCTCAGTATTATTTTCTTAGTTTATTCCAATAGTAATTTGAAAATACCAGTAATATTTTTCTGATGATTGCTGATTGTATTCTAGTCCTATTTCTTACTGTCTTATCAGAATTTCCTGGAATTACAGCACTTGCAGTTTTGACTTTTAATGTCCTTATGTAAAAAAAAAAAATGTAAAAAATATTAATATTTTTAAATGCACATGAATTAAAATGGAAGTTAGAAATTTTAAGAGAATGGTTTCAGGGTCATTATGTGTTATATAGGTCTTGACATAGATCTTTATAATTTCACTTATTCTATTGAGGGCAATACTAATATGCTGAGGATCCTTTTGATGATATATTTTTATTGACTATAAATATTAAAAAGTGCACATATTTTAAGGAGACAGATGATTTAGTGCTCTGTTTAGCGTCATAAGGCTGACTTACTCGACATTTGTATTCCACCTACGACCTAGACCTGCGTCGGTGTTCTCCTCAGCTGTGCCATGTGTTTGATAATGTAGTTCTTGGAACCTCCATTAATTCTCACTTAAAAGGATAAATATTCATACTTTTGTTTAAGAGTTTCCCCAGCCAAAAAGTAAGGGCAAAGTGTTGAAGTGTACAGTGTACTGATATAACTTAATTTAGGATGTAATTTATTTACTTGTAAAGCTGGAAGAAGAACGAGTCAGAGTCTAGATTGATATACCATTTAAAAAAATCATTAAAATATGAGCATAAAGACTGATCAAGCTTTTTTTCAGGATGAAGAAGGAAAGAGAAAAGTTTAAAGATGCTGTGGATTTGGAACTGAAAAAAGATGATGATGTAGATCTTCAGTCATTTATATACAAAGACAGTCCAATTACGAACACTAACCCTGTATAACTGGACATTTTAACAAATGTTCAACACTGACACTCTTTTGATATTTTAACATGATATTAATGACAATTTTAGTAAAGTGAAGTTGACTGAATGTATGTTTATTTGTATTTGATGTATGTTTTAATAAAACTGCTTTTACTTGATTGCTTTACTGTTGAATTAAGTTGATTGTGTCCGACTTAAACTTTAGATTACAAAAACAAAATCTTTGTTCAAACACATGATGAAATTATTATAAATATCGTAAATGAAATATGAAGATAACGAACACTAATCAAGCTCAAAAGTCCAAAGCAAATTTGGAGCAGAGCAAACACGGACATCTAAAACGTCAGAGGTGGAATCAGGTGCCTGGAGGAGTAAGCATCCCCTGTCGACCGGTCACACCTGTTATGTGCACCTTGTCATACTCGGACAAACAGAAAAATCCGTAGACAGTGTGAGATTAATGGCCGAACAGTTAGTACGCAAAAACGTCTGTCAATATTCGACTTTCTATTAGATTGTATTCGCTGATAAGGTCAATGTTTACTTGTCAGTAGTCTTTGAAATTGTTCGTACGTAGAGCATTGAATCAACTGGGAGACATAAACTCTATATGCAGGCGACAATGGTATATTGCTGCGTAAATAAGGGAAATTGACGATGGAAAAGTTGAAGCCATGAAGTTTATCTTTACTATTAACGCCTTTTTCTAAAATATCTAAATATGAAACAGATGTTTCAGACTCTATAGTATTTTTTATTCGAATTCAAAGGGATATATGGAATCAACGAAGGAATGAAAACAAATATTATTAATTGATAAAACGTCGTCGATATATCTAAATGTTGAATTGAAGGCCACAGCAACATGTAGAAGTTTTTGAATAAATTCTGCTTCGTATGAATACAAATACAAAAACAGGTCTGCTAATAACGGGGCGCAGTTAGTACCTGACAGATTGTTGGAAGACTTGATCTCCAAAAACTACCTAGATACTGTCAATCTGAAACTCAAGCAGTGCTTATCGACCAGTGTACCAATTTGCCAAAAGATATATGGTCCCGATTAAAACAGTTTCTATCATCAAAGCAGAATCCATCATCATGTTCACATTTACAAACTGACAATGGTACTATATTACATTGTATATAGTTTGAATTGAATCTATGGCTTAGGCTCGTAGAACGCGCGCCCACCTTTTTTTACTGAGTATAGTATTTTGCTGTAGTAAATAATTTTCCTTTAGATGCTGCCCCCCTTTTTTTTTTATGTTGTAAGGTGGAGCACTGGCAAATTCCAGAATTTGGACAGTAAATTGGCTTTTTTGCTTGTCAGATTTTTTTGAAGTCCCCCCCCCCCCCCCCCATTTTGAAACCGTTGTTACGGACCTGTGGCTAACTCGTATTAATGATTTCTTCTGTAGTATAGGACATGAAATTGCATGGTAAACAGTTTGATTTTTCTTTACCAGAGGTTGAACAACTGAAAGCACAGAGAGAGGTCATAATATTGGGTCACATTTTTTCATGGGAATAATTTTTCCTCCAAAAAATCTGATGAAAAATAGCAGGGCTAAAATTAATCAGGTGAGCGTTGCGATCCATGGGCCTCTTTTTTTTAATTGACATCTGGACAGTAACAAGACTACCCACCCACACATACAACCTTTTGTTCAAACTTCCTTCAAATTATGTTTACAATTCACGTTACAACATTAAGAATCTGCTTTTTTAATTTCTTATTTACAAAAAAGGAATCATGCATACCACAATGCTTATTTTTAACTACTATAAAACGCATTGAATCAGTTACACCACTTTTTATGCACAAAAAAGTAAAAGTACACTGCCCAAACTTAAGAAGAGTTATTTAAAGAATGAAAAGTTACTTCAACAAAACAAAATATAATAGATGACTTCGATAAATCATTCACTATCATGTAGTTGTGGTTGAAAGTGTTTGGCGCCATGGCTACGCAGGGTTATTCTTGGTTTTTGCTTTTTGCTTCTAAAGGCGGACATACTTACGTAAAATTTCGTATTTTTTACGATTTATACTCATGAGATGCCTAGGAAATGAAAACACACAATTATTAATATGCTTGCCAGCGGTACAAGGTTATATGTACCACAGTGCAAAATAAAAAAAGGGATTAGACAGTGTTTGATAATCACAAATGCCCACAAGCGTGTCTCTCAGTCCAAGTCAGGAGAGAGCTGACAAAGATAAATATCCCCAAAGATACACTGGAGGGTCCAGTAAATGTTCTACCAAGCCCTTATCAAAAAGTGGTATAAATCAAATGTGGATTCTGAAAAAATCCGAAGAACTTTTAGATAATTTGAAATCATCAATAACATCAAAATGTATGACTTTTTACAATCATCCTATATCCTCATGATAAATTAAAGACCAGGCTTTTTAATATCATATACGACTGCTATTTAAATTGAAATGAAACTACTGTAATGAAACTCGTAAATTTACATTTCTAGTGATTGTTCAGCAATACAAAATTACTTAACTAAAAATCATTCTAATTCTAAAACAACAAGTAATGTGAAGTTTATATTTAAAAGATGCTGGAGTTTTTCAATGACAATACAGGCCCATAGTTACACGGGGTGGGGGGGGGGGGAATAAACGTTTGCTGTATCTTTAATATGAATATTTTCATTGTGTTTTTTGTTACAGTAAGACCGAACTCTGGCAAATTTTTGCACAAAAACCCCCCCGAAAAGTTTGAGAAAGATCCAAGACCCCGTGTGTGCGTGTGTGTGATTTCAGTGACCGAAACATGAATTTTATTCTCTCTCTCTGTTAAATCTAATTTCGGTTTTTAAAATAATTTAAATCTCTCTCTCTCTCTCTCTCTCTCTCTCTCTCTCTCTCTCTCACAATTATTTATTATTTATATTTTTTAAAACGATGTGGACACCCATGCAGTTGTGCAGGAGAATACTTAGCTATACGCCACATGGTATATATTACAATGTACAAGTATGTGAGACGTGATTTGCGTAAAATTTCTGGATCCAACAATTTCAAGAAATACTGACTTTTATATGAAAATTGAATAAAGTTGAAAGATTTATAAAGGTAACTAGCACAGGTATTTTTAGTAAACAGTAAACGAAACGTACATGTTAATGTACTCGGCGTGTGATCCTTTGAAGTGCTAGTCTAAATGTTTACATATACGTCAGACTTTTCATTATTTTGACTTTCATTAACAAGCTATAGACATTAACATCCCTGTCGTCTTAATGCTGCAAATACTTGTCAAAACTTCACAACTTTACTACAACTAGAACATTTTCTAATTTCCTTAACGCTTGGATTTTAAATTCATCTCTTTCATCGCTCAATACTTCATCCAGTAAATTGTCCGATTCTAAGTTTCATAAGATCTGGGATCAGACCTATATGATTTATGCTTTTCTTCATATCCTCTGTGGAGATGGAATAATATTTAAATCAATTGTATCTATCTTCAAATGATTTAATGATAGGTATAATTCAATTGAACCTATCTGTAATTGAATTAAACCTATCTGTAAAGGAATTAAAGATCAGGCGCGGATCCAGGAATTTTTTCCGGGGGGGGGGGGGGGTCCTCCCCAGTCAAAAAAAAAATTCAACCCCCCCCCCCAAAAAAAAACAACAACAACAGCAACCTAAAATCCATTTCCAAAAGGTGAAAAGTGCCTATTTCGTGGTGGTGATGGTGGGTTTCACGTTTTCTAGGGGGGTCCATTTTTTATTTGCATCAGTATATACTTTTAGTAACTCTGCAAATTCCGGGGGGGGGGGGGGGTGTCCGGACCCCCCAGATCCGCACATGAAAGATAGGTGTAATTCATTTGAACCTAGGTTCAATTATTTAAAGGTAGGTCTAATTATTCACGTATCTTTAATCCATTTAGACCTATCTTTAATTCAATTGTACCTCTCTTCAAATATTTGTATCTGTCTTCAAATCAATTATACTTAGATTTAAAGATAGGTGCAATTGAATTGAACCTAATAATAATTTATTTGTACCTATCTTCAAATCATTTGTGGAGATGGTTTAAGTGTAGCAATCTTGAAATCAATTGAAATCAATTGTACCTATCTTCACATGATTTAATGATAGGTATGATTCAATCGAACCTTTTATTATTTATTTATATTTTTCTCATAGTAAACAAAGTAATTGTAAATAAACATCTTTACATTTACGGCTCACTCACTCAAACTATCCACGTCCACTCACTCAAACTATCCACGTCCACTCACTCAAACTATCCACGTCCACTCACTCAAACTATCCACGTCCACTCACTCAAACTATCCACGTCCACTCACTGAAACTATCCACGTCCACTCACTCAAACTATCCACGTCCACTCACTCAAACTATCCACGTCCACTCACTCAAACTATCCACGTCCACTCACTCAAACTATCCACGTCCACTCACTCAAACTATCCACGTCCATTTCTCACACTAGATTCAATTGAACCTATATGTAATTGATAAGAATGTATAATGGAATTAAAGATAGGTTTCATTCATTTAGGTTCAATTACTTAAGAATAAATGTAATTATTATTATACCCCTCGCTTTTCAAGCGGGGGTGTATAGTGATGGTGGTGACCATCCGTCTGTCTGACGTTGTCAGCTAATACAATCTAACTTGAGACAAATGCTGACTAATTGTTAGGCCATTATTTACACACTGAATTGACTACGGATTTTTCCATTTTTCCCGATCATGATAAGGAGCACACGGCGGGTGTGTGCTCACTACTCCATGGCACCTGATCCTGCCTCCGATGTTTTTGGAGGTCCGTGTTTGCTCTGCTCCCGATTGGTATTGTTTAAATGGACTATGAACTTGAATACTGTTCGTTATCTCCATAATTCATTTGCCAGAATGGATTACGTGTTTTAGAAATATATAAAAGAATCGTGTTAGACAGGCAATATGCGAACTATCTATTCTTTCGTTTTCAAAAAGTCGGAGGTGATAAAAGAATTAGAAAGATTACATGAACAATATTTTATGGTTCGAGCAGACAATGCTTGTAACAATAACGTCTTTGTTTGTAAGGTTCATTATTATAACTGTATTTTGGAAGAACTTATTTTAATTTTACACGTGGAAGTC